TTAAAAGATAAAGAATCACACATAAAGTGGGAGTTGTCACAGTTGCTCTTTGCTGATGACACTGTGCTCTTGGGAGATTCTGAAGAGAAGTTGTAGAGGTTGGTGGTTGAATTTGGTAGGGTGTGTCAGAGAAGGAAATTAAAAGTGAATATAGGAAAGAGTAAGATGATGAGGACAACAAAAAAATTATGTGATGAAAGATTGGATATCAGATTGGAGGGAAAGAGTATGGAGGAGGTGAATGTATTCAGATGTTTAGAAGTGGATGTGTCAGCAGATGAGCGTATGAAAGATGAGGTGAATCACAGAACTGATGGTCAGTGTTGCAGTGAGGAGTCTGTGGAGACAAAGAACTTTGTCTATGGAAGCAAAGATGGGAACGTATGAGAGTGTAGTTATACCAACGTTCTTATATGTGTGTGAAACATGAGTGTTGAATGTTGTAACAAGGAGAAGGCTGGAGGCAGTGTAGGAGGAGGCTAGAGGCAGTGGAGGAGGAGGCCGGAGGCAGTGTAGGTGGAGGCTAGAGGCAGTGTAGGTGGAGGCTGGAGGCAGTGTAGGAGGAGGCTGGAGGCAGTGTAGGTGGAGGCTAGAGGCAGTGGAGGAGGAGGCCGGAGGCAGTGTAGGTGGAGGCTGGAGGCAGTGGAGGTGGAGGCTGGAGGCAGTAGAGATGTTGTATCTGAGGGCAATGTGTGGTGTGAATATAATGCAGAGAATCCGTAGTTTGGAAATTCGGAGGAGGTGCAGGATTACCAAAACTGTTGTCCAGAGGACTGAGGACGGGTTGTTGAGGTGGTTCAGACATGTAGAGAGAATGGAACAAAACAGAATGACTTCGAGAGTGTATAAATCTGTAGTGGAGGGAAGGCGGGGTAGAGGTCCACCTAGGAAAGGTTGGAGGGAGTGGGTAAAGGTTTTGTGTGCGAGGGTGTTGGACCTCCAGCAAGCATGCGTGAGCTTTTTAGATAGGAGTGAATGGAGTCAAATGGTTTTTAATACTTGACGTGCTGTTGGAGTGTAAGTAAGGTAACATTTATGAAGAGATTTAGGGAAAGTGACAGGCCGGACTTGAGTCCTGGAGATGGGAAGTACAGTGCCTGCACTCTGAAGGACGGGTGTTAATGTTGCAGTTTAAAAACTGTAGTGTAAAGCACCCTTCTGGCAAGACAGTGATGGAGTGAATGATGGTGAAAGTGATTCTTTCTCGGGTCACCCTGCCTTGGTGGGAGACGGCCGATGTGCTAATACAAATAATAATAATAATAATAATAATAATAATAATAATAATAATAATAATAATTACTCAACAAAGGCATTAAAAGAGCATCACGGAACACCACTAACTCAAACAGTAAAAGCCACAACGGGAGGGAAAAAAACAGTTCTGTTGGTTAAGCCACAAAAGCCGTTGACTTGTGGCGCGCAATCTACTGGCGGGAAAATCGTGCCTTATCGCCAATTTGGCGCGCGTCAAGTAAGCTGTGATTTGGCGCCAGTAACGACGCCAAACCTGATTGGAGGACATTTTTCTTGGTGGCGGTGGGAAGGTAGGTAGTTGGCGGGGGCGGGAAGGGTTCTTGCTGGCGGGCGGTGGCGGGAAGGGCTCCCATTGGCGGGCAGCAGCGGTGGCGGGAAGAGTTCTTATTGGCGGGGCGACGGCGGGAAGAGTTGCCATTGGCGGGCCGTAGCAGTGGCGGGAAGAGCTGTCATCGGCGGGCGGTGGCGGGAAGAACTACCATTGGTGGGTAGTGGCGGTGGCGGGAAGAACTACCATTGGCGGGCGGCGGCGTTGGCGGGAAGACATCCCATTGGCGGGTGGCGGCGTTGGCGGGAGCCACGTTGATTGGCGCCCGCTGAGATGAGCACAACCAATCACAGTGGAGTGGGCGGGGCCTCTCGCCTTCAGGGGAGGACGGGGTCCTGAAGATCACCACAGAAACTGACTTTACTCTCCACTCTTTCCCTATTTTACGCCATATTCCGCACTTTTTCCAACTAATTACTTTTTGGGATCAAAGCGCGAATGTCTAAATAAAATAACCATGCATTCTAAGCTATTTTATCACACGTAACAACTGCACAATTCCAATGGAAAGTCGGTAGAGAATTTCTTGCCTCAGAGAATTTTTGAGCCAGGTCTTAAAGTGGGTGGTAAGCCATGCCTGGGGTGGGAATTAAAATGGGAATTATCACTGTGCATTTTTCCACTGCCTTCAGATATGAGACTATGAAAGGATTATAGTCTGGCTTCTGTTGGTAGTTGATGGGGAGGATATTGAGGTGGATGGTGATGGGTTAGTTGTGTAAATGACTGTGTGTGTGTGTGTGTGTGTGTGTGTGTGTGTGTGTGTGTGTGTGTGTGTGTGTGTGTGTGTGTGTGTGTGTGTGTGTGTGTTTACTGATCTCCCCGCCTGATGGTTGTTGTACAACAGCTCTGGTCACTGTTATCGATCAAGTGGTAAAAGTTGACTGTGGTATCTCTGTGACTCAGCGTCAAGCACTACCCTCTGCGTCACCACCTGCGTTACCCTCTGCGTCACCACCTGCGTCACTACCTGCGTCACCACCTGCATCACCACCTACTTCACCACCAGCGTCACTACCAGCGTCACCACCAGCGTCACCACCAGTGTCACCACCTGCGTCACCACCTGCATCACCACCTACTTCACCACCAGCGTCACTACCAGCGTCACCACCAGCGTCACCACCAGCGTCACCACCTGCGTCACCACCTGCATCACCACCTACGTCACCACCTGCGTCACCACCTGCATCACCACCTACTTCACCACCAGCGTCACCACCAGCGTCACCACCAGCGTCACCACCTGCGTCACCACCTGCATCACCACCTACGTCACCACCAGCGTCACCACCTGCGTCATCAGCAACGCCACCCTCTGCGTCTATATGTACGTCTGTGTGTACGTCTGTGTGTACCCCTGTGTGGATGTGTGAGTACGTGTGCACATCTGTGTTTGTGTGTACCTCTGCTTCTGCTTGTACGTTTGTCAACGTCTGTGTGTGTACGTCTCTGTCTGTGTCCCTGTGTCTGTATATGTACGTCAATTAGTGTATGTGTGTGTATACTTCTGTTGTATGTGCATGTACGTGTGTGCTCATACGCCCCCTCGTACATGTATGTATACGCGTGTACGCCAGTACATATGTGTACGTCAGTGTAAGTACGTCAGTGTTCATGTATCTGTGGGCTCGATGTCACGTATCCTTAGGAGGAAGAATGTTGTGTCACAATGTGTTATGTATCACAGTGTAATATGTATCACAATGTGTTATGTATCACAATGTGTTATGTATCACAGTGTAATATGTATCACAATGTGTTATGTATCACAATGTGTTATGTATCACAATGTGTTATGTATCACAATGTGTTACGTATCACAATGTGTTATGTATCACAATGTGTTACGTATCACAATGTGTTATGTATCACAATGTGTTACGTATCACAATGTGTTACGTATCACAATGTGTTACGTATCACAATGTGTTATGTATCACAATGTGTTATGTATCACAATGTGTTACGTATCACAATGTGTTATGTATCACATATGTGTTACGTATCACAATGTGTTATGTATCACAATGTGTTACGTATCACAATGTGTTATGTATCACAATGTGTTACGTATCACAATGTGTTATGTATCACAATGTGTTATGTATCACAATGTGTTACGTATCACAATGTGTTATGTATCACAATGTGTTACGTATCACAATGTGTTATGTATCACAATGTGTTACGTATCACAATGTGTTATGTATCACAATGTGTTACGTATCACAATGTGTTATGTATCACAATGTGTTACGTATCACAATGTGTTACGTATCACAATGTGTTACGTATCACAATGTGTTACGTATCACAATGTGTTACGTATCACAATGTGTTACGTATCACAATGTGTTACGTATCACAATGTGTTATGTATCACAATGTGTTATGTATCACAATGTGTTACGTATCACAATGTGTTATGTATCACAATGTGTTATGTATCACAATGTGTTATGTATCACAATGTGTTATGTATCACAATGTGTTACGTATCACAATGTGTTACGTATCACAATGTGTTATGTATCACAATGTGTTATGTATCACAATGTGTTACGTATCACAATGTGTTACGTATCACAATGTGTTACGTATCACAATGTGTTATGTATCACAATGTGTTACGTATCACAATGTGTTACGTATCACAATGTGTTACGTATCACAATGTGTTATGTATCACAATGTGTTACGTATCACAATGTGTTACGTATCACAATGTGTTATACATGAATTTTTGTGTTAGGCAGTTTTATGCATAAAAATGTATAAATGTTGAGAAGTTGATTACTAACATTACCCTGAGGGAGAGATTATTGTGTGTGTGTGTGTGTGTGTGTGTGTGTGTGTGTGTGTGTGTGTGTGTGTGTGTGTGTGTGTGTGTGTGTGTGTGTGTGTGTGTGTTGTGTGTGTGTGTGTGTGTGTGTGTGTGTGTGTGTGGTGTGTTGTGTGTGTGTGTGTGTGTGTTTGTGTGTGTGTGTGTGTGTGTGTGTGTGTGTGTGTGTGTGTGTGTGTGTGTGTGTTTGTGTGTGTGTGTGTGTGTGTGTGTGTGTGTGTGTGTGTGTGTGTGTGTGTGTGTGTGTGTGTGTGTGTGTGTTGTGTGTGTGTACTCGACTCTACCACCTCAATGATATGGGGGAGATAAGGAGTCCCCTCCCCTCTCCTCATTTCCCCCTCCTGCGGCAGCTGTCTCCCCTCCCCCAGACATGAATACCTCCACCGGGGCTTTGTTCACACCCTGGGGGAATCGCGGGGAATTCACGCTGCGGTAATAAGGTCGCACTGTAGAACTGCAGCCCCGTGATCTTCCTACATCGATTCCAGGAGGAGGTAGAGTCTCTCTCTCTCTCTCTCTGTTCCCCCTCCCTCTCCCGCAGGGGAGAGGGATACCCCCTGCGGAACACCTGCGGGAGGCGGTACCGTCGGCACGCGCGTCCAATCACAGTGCGCCGGCCGAACGTGCAGCCAATCAGCGTCGCCGCTGCCGGCTGCTCCCCGGCAGCGTCCAGGTACCACCCCGACGGCGCCGGCAGTTACTGTCGGGGCGGGGAGTGGAGCGGACGCACTCTCTCTCTCTCTCTCTCTCTCTCTCCCGCTCACTCGACCTCCCGGAGACATTCACGATGTGAGGGATCTGAGGCCAGAGCCTCACCTAACACCACCTCCAGCTGCTCTAACACCACCTCCAGCTGCCCTAACACCACCTCCAGCTGCTCCAACACCACCTCCAGCTGCCCTAACATCACCTCCAGCTGCCCTAACACCATCTCCTGCTGCTCTAACACCACCTCCAGTTGCTCTAACACCACCTCCAGCTGCTCTAGCACCACTCCAGCAGCTCTAATACCACCTCTAGCTGCTCTAGCACCACTCCAGCTGCTCTAACACCACCTCCAGCTGCTCTAACACCTCCAGCTGCTCCCATCTGTGATCTCGACTGTGATAATGCCTAAAGGTTTCCTGGTGAAAAGAAGAGAAGAAATGAGCGTTCTGGACCTGGTGCCCTACAGACCCTGGCGTAATACCCCGCTGCCCGCGGAGCAGGAGGAACCCGTGGACTTCAGTTTGCGGACTCTGCGGGAGACTCAGGGCAGGGATGGCAGGACTCAGGAGGGACTGCAGCAGGTACGTGAGGACTATGAAGGGGTGAAGGAGGCGGTGCAGGGGCGTGAGAAGGGCAGCCGCCTGATGGTGAGGACTCCGGATTCAGGTTTCAGTAGTCCCTCCGATGGGGACTTCTACAGGAGGTCAGTGTGTCACACGCCGTCAACACGTGTGCCGACCAAGCTCCACACTGATGCTGTGACCCAGTGTGAGGTGGAGCAGACTGCTCCTCTGGCGCTCATCAAGAGGAAATCCTCTGAAGAGGACCTGAGCACAGCCCTCCACGTCTCCACTATCCACACTCCGCCAGAAGCAAGCCAATTCCAGCCCTTCCAGTTGTCAATACCACGACTGGATGATCCGCGCTACATGGTGGGGCCTCAGACGAGTCCCTACCACCTGTTGTCACCCACGCTGTACTGGCCTCACGGCTCCTCCCCCCTCAGGTCACCCATACCCTTCACCTCACCCCTTGGTCGCTCCCCTTACGACCTCACCCACACAGCAGTGCCCCTTCACAGCCCTCAGGAGGGACTGAACCTCAGCACCTGTTCTCAGGGATCTCCCAAGACTTGTGACCCCCATCAAGATTCCTCCGAAGTCTCCGTGCACCGGAGTCTCCACTCCTCAGAAGCGGAAGTCTCCCAGCACCTCGCCAGGTACTTCCGAGAAGAAGTTGAAGACGTCTAAGAAAAACAAAGCCGCTCGTCGCCTCAACTTCGACGAAGACAAGACTTCGCCAGTTTCAGGAACCATCATCAGGGAACTGGCGGAGGGTGAAGAGCCGCTAGTGGTCAGGAAGGGCGACATAGACCCGGCCTACAACGTCGTTGAGATCACAGAAGAAGCCAAAGCTGAGCTCGCTAAGATCGACAACAAGATCGGCGACTACGTGTGTCGTCTCTGCAAGGAGATGTACGACGACGCCTTTGGCCTGGCGCAACACCGATGTTCCCGTATCATACACGTCGAGTATAGGTGCCCGGAGTGCGACAAGGTCTTCAACTGCCCCGCCAACCTGGCCTCCCACAGGAGGTGGCACAAACCCAAGACCTCCCTGACCTCTACTTCGGTGGCCAGCACCAGCGCCGCCACCTCCAAATGCGAGGCTGACACCATCTCCGGCAAGAGCTACACTGAGAATAATAACAACAGTAGCACCAGCAATAACAACCTCCTGAAGGGACCCCCAGCGCTAGTGCCGCTGCCGCAGTTCATGGCGATGGCCAGGGAGGAGGACTCGGAGGAGCAGTATGAGTGTGAATTATGTTTCAAGAAGTTCAAACGTCAGTCGTACCTACGGAAGCACCTAGCGACGCATCGCGGGGAGCATAGCGACGCTGACGGTGCAGGGCCCTCTCACGTCCGTCAGCCGCCCGCCCTGACGCCCCTGCTGTCACCGCACTTTCCCAGCGAGGTCCTACCCTGTCACCTGTGTGCTGCTGCTTTCTACACGCCGGCGGCCCTGGAGCTGCACCTGGAGACTACCCACATTCCCAAGCTAGAACCTGCGACGTCCAGCACCCTCCACGTACCTCGCCCGCAGTTCTCCCCTCCACATCACGTACCTACACAACCCCCGCACCCTCCAGCACCTCACCTCCTTCACCGACCCCACCAGATATCCGCGCCGACGTAATTCAACGTCCTATTCTCCGTGTCCACCGGTGCTATACTCCAGCAGACGCCAAGAGGACATCCCAGGACGCCAGAAGACTCCAAACACCAGCGTCTGTGTCTCAGCGAGGCGTTCACACCCCCCTACGACAGGTCCCTCTCCAAACACTCAGCTCCACAACAGGTATCAGTCCCCCAAGCTTTTCTCAGCTCACACAAGCTCACCATGGTACTCACCTCCCATAACATCAGTTGATACAGTGCTCTCTGTGTAGACGGACTTTCCACACTCACATAACCGGGACTTAAATTACCAATTATCTCAACCTCTAAGTGAATATTGACAATAATTCTTAAGTTACCCCTTGAGTTTACATATATACATGTATACACATGTTTATACGCATGTACGTATATATATGTATACGCGTGTGTATGGGATGCACATATGTGTACTAGGGATACGCAGGTGTGTGCGTAGTAGCGCGTATACTACGCTCCCCCCCATGAATGGTGCGTAGTTCCATTCATAGTCAAATTCCCATTGTGAAGGGTGGTTGTCCTAGTTCATCCTGGCTACGAAAAATATCCCTTCCCCGCCGCATCGATCTCACTCGTTAACACTTAACTTATACGGGAGTAAGGAGAGTCGTTTTCTACCCAGGATGAATGACGCTCAGCCCACCTCGCCTGGTGTTACATATCTTGTCTAATTTCTAAGTCAAAGTAACTTACGCTGATCTCATCAAAATTTTTTGACACTAGTCTAATTCTAAGGGATTTTGATAAGCTGATCTCACATCAAAAATTGTTGATACTAGTCTAATTCTAATGAATTTTGACAAAACTTACACTGATCTCACATCAAAATATTTTGATACTTGTCTAATTCAAACTGATTTTTGACATAATTTACACTGATCTCACATCAAAATATTTTGACACTTGTCTAATTCTAACCGATTTTGACTTAATTTACACTGATATCACATCAAGTTTTATTGACACGTCTAATTCTAAGTGATTTTGACATAATTTACATTGATCTCACATCAAAATATTTTGACACTTGTCTAATTCAAACAGATTTTGACATAATTTTCACTGCACATCAAAAATTGTTGACACTAATCTAATTCAAACGGATTTTGACATTGATCTAATACTTTATGATTAAATTTTGACTGATCTCAAATCACGTCATGATATTAATCTCAAAATTTCGATTTTTTTCAGTTGATCTCAGAGTGGATTTATTTTATAGGCATTAATCCGTCAATTTCAAATTTTTTTCTAAATCAAAGTCTGTATGTCGTCATTTCTAAGCACCCAGTTGTCTCTTTGAGAATTTAGACGTAAAGATTTAGAATTTAGATTTAGGGATTTAGATTTTAGATGTAGGGGATTTAGATTTAAGGATTTAGAATCTGATTTAGATTTTGATCAATCAGTACCTGATTAGATGTAAAAGGGACAAATAACTTCAAAATTAGATTTCAAAATTACGGTCTATCTCAAAGTTCAAAGTTAGATTTTGATTGTATGCCGCTCAAAATCAAATTCTATGCTATTCAAAGTCAATATATACATACATATTTTATATCAAAGTAAAATCTATTTCTAAATCAAAGTAAAAAAATCAAAATATATAAAAAAAATCTATACCGAAGTGAAAAAATCTATTTCTAAATCAAAGTAGAAATAAATCTATTTCTAAATCAACGTAGAAATAAATCTATTTCAAAATAAAAGTATAAATAAATCTATTTCAAAATCAAAGTAGAAATAAATCTATTTCTAAATCAAAGTAGAAATAAATCTATTTCAAAATCAAAGTAGAAACAAATCTATTTCAAAATCAAAGTACAAACAAATCTATTTCAAAATCAAAGTATAAACAAATCTATTTCAAAATCAAAGTAGAAATAAATCTATTTCAAAATCAAAGTAGAAATAAATCTATTTCAAAATCAAAGTAGAAATAAATCTATTTCTAAATCAAAGTAGAAATAAATCTATTTCTAAATCAAAGTAGAAATAAATCTATTTCTAAATCAAAGTAGAAATAAATCTATTTCTAAATCAAAGTAAGCAAATCTATTTCAAAATCAAAAAATGAATTCTAAATGGATTCTAATTTGAAATCTAATTTAGAAGGTCAGATTTTTGAACGTTTTGACATAGAGACCTGTGTGAAGCGGCAGACCCGTAAGGGCCAGTCAACACCTGGTGTGTGTATATAATTATTATTATTATTATTATTATTATTATTATTATTATTATTGTGTTTTAATCTTGTTCAGTAAGCCAAGACGTGTTCATTCCTGTGTTCACTTCTGTGTTCACTTCTGTGTTCACTACTGTGTGTGTTCAGTCCTGTGTGTGTTCAGTCCTGTGTGTGTTCAGTCCTGTGTTGTTCAGTCTGTGTCACTTCTGTGTTCATCTGTGTTCACTTCTGTGTTCACTTCTGTGTTCACTCTGTGTTATATGTGTGTGTTCAGTCTGTGTGTGTTCAGTCCTGTGTTCATTCCTGTGTTCACTTCTGTGTTCACTTCTGAGTTCACTTCTGTGTTCACTTCTGTGTTCACTTCTGTGTTCACTACTGTGTGTGTTCAGTCCTGTGTTCATTCCTGTGTTCACTTCTGTGCTCACTTCTGTGTTCACTTCTGAGTTCACTTCTGTGTTCACTTCTGTGTTCACTTCTGTGTTCACTACTGTGTGTGTTCAGTCCTGTGTGTGTTCAGTCCTGTGTGTTCAGTTCTGTGTTCATTCCTGTGTTCACTTCTGTGTTCACTTCTGTGTTCACTACTGTGTGTGTTCAGTCCTGTGTTCACTCCTGTGTTCACTTCTGTGTTCACTACTGTGTTCACTACTGTGTGTGTGTTCATCCTGTGTTCATTCCTGTGATCACTCTGTGTTCACTTCTGTGTTCACTACTGTGTTCATACTGTGTGTGTCAGTCCTGTGTTCACTACTGTGTTCACTACTGTGTGTGTTCAGTCCTCTGTGTGTTCAGTCCTGTGTTCACTCCTGTGTTCACTTCTGTGTTCACTACTGTGTTCACTCTGGTGTGTTCAGTCCTGTGTTCACTCCTGTGTTCACTTCTGTGTTCACTACTGTGTTTACTACTGTGTGTGTTCAGTCCTGTGTTCATTCCTGTGATCACTTCTGTGTTCACTCCTGTGTTCACTTCTGTGTTCACTACTGTGTTCACTACTGTGTGTGTTCAGTCCTGTGTTCACTCCTGTGTTCACTTCTGTGTTCACTACTGTGTTTACTACTGTGTGTGTTCAGTCCTGTGTTCATTCCTGTGTTCACTTCTGTGCTCACTTCTGTGTTCACTTCTGAGTTCACTTCTGTGTTCACTTCTGTGTTCACTTCTGTGTTCACTACTGTGTGTGTTCAGTCCTGTGTGTGTTCAGTCCTGTGTGTGTTCAGTCATGTGTTCATTCCTGTGTTCACTTCTGTGTTCACTTCTGTGTTCACTACTGTGTGTGTTCAGTCCTGTGTTCACTCCTGTGTTCACTTCTGTGTTCACTACTGTGTTCACTACTGTGTGTGTGTTCAGTCCTGTGTTCATTCCTGTGATCACTCCTGTGTTCACTTCTGTGTTCACTACTGTGTTCACTACTGTGTGTGTTCAGTCCTGTGTTCACTACTGTGTTCACTACTGTGTGTGTTCAGTCCTCTGTGTGTTCAGTCCTGTGTTCACTCCTGTGTTCACTTCTGTGTTCACTACCGTGTTCACTACTGTGTGTGTTCAGTCCTGTGTTCACTCCTGTGTTCACTTCTGTGTTCACTACTGTGTTTACTACTGTGTGTGTTCAGTCCTGTGTTCATTCCTGTGATCACTTCTGTGTTCACTCCTGTGTTCACTTCTGTGTTCACTACTGTGTTCACTACTGTGTGTGTTCAGTCCTGTGTTCACTCCTGTGTTCACTTCTGTGCTCACTACTGTGTTCACTACTGTGTGTGTTCACTCCTGTGTTCACTCCTGTGTTCACTACTGTGTTCACTACTGTGTTCACTACTGTGTTCACTACTGTGTTCACTACTGTGTGTGTTCAGTCCTGTGTTCACTTCTGTGTTCACTACTGTGTTCACTCCTGTGTTCACTACTGTGTGTGTTCAGTCCTGTGTTCACTCCTGTGTTCACTACTGTGTTCACTACTGTGTTCACTACTGTGTTCACTACTGTGTGTGTTCAGTCCTGTGTTCACTTCTGTGTTCACTACTGTGTTCACTACTGTGTGTGTTCAGTCCTGTGTTCACTCCTGTGTTCACTACTGTGTGTGTTCAGTCCTGTGTTCACTACTGTGTTCACTACTGTGTTCAGTACTGTGTTCACTACTGTGTGTGTTCAGTCCTGTGTTCACTACTGTGTTCACTACTGTGTGTGTTCAGTCCTGTGTTCACTACTGTGTTCACTACTGTCTGTGTTCACTACTGTGTGTGTTCAGTCCTGTGTTCACTACTGTGTTCACTACTGTGTGTGTTCAGTCCTGTGTTCACTACTGTGTTCACTACTGTGTTCAGTACTGTGTTCACTACTGTGTGTGTTCAGTCCTGTGTTCACTACTGTGTTCACTACTGTGTGTGTTCAGTCCTGTGTTCACTACTGTGTTCACTACTGTGTTCAGTCCTGTGTTCACTACTGTGTGTGTTCAGTCCTGTGTTCACTACTGTGTTCACTACTGTGTGTGTTCAGTCCTGTGTTCACTACTGTGTTCACTACTGTGTTCAGTACTGTGTTCACTACTGTGTTCAGTACTGTGTTCACTACTGTGTGTGTTCAGTCCTGTGTTCACTACTGTGTTCACTACTGTGTGTGTTCAGTCCTCTGTGTGTTCAGTCCTGTGTTCACTCCTGTGTTCACTTCTGTGTTCACTACCGTGTTCACTACTGTGTGTGTTCAGTCCTGTGTTCACTCCTGTGTTCACTTCTGTGTTCACTACTGTGTTTACTACTGTGTGTGTTCAGTCCTGTGTTCATTCCTGTGATCACTTCTGTGTTCACTCCTGTGTTCACTTCTGTGTTCACTACTGTGTTCACTACTGTGTGTGTGTTCAGTCCTGTGTTCACTCCTGTGTTCACTTCTGTGCTCACTACTGTGTTCACTACTGTGTGTGTTCAGTCCTGTGTTCACTCCTGTGTTCACTACTGTGTTCACTACTGTGTTCACTACTGTGTTCACTACTGTGTTCACTACTGTGTGTGTTCAGTCCTGTGTTCACTTCTGTGTTCACTACTGTGTTCACTCCTGTGTTCACTACTGTGTGTGTTCAGTCCTGTGTTCACTCCTGTGTTCACTACTGTGTTCACTACTGTGTTCACTACTGTGTTCACTACTGTGTGTGTTCAGTCCTGTGTTCACTTCTGTGTTCACTACTGTGTTCACTACTGTGTGTGTTCAGTCCTGTGTTCACTCCTGTGTTCACTACTGTGTGTGTTCAGTCCTGTGTTCACTACTGTGTTCACTACTGTGTTCAGTACTGTGTTCACTACTGTGTGTGTTCAGTCCTGTGTTCACTACTGTGTTCACTACTGTGTGTGTTCAGTCCTGTGTTCACTACTGTGTTCACTACTGTGTTCACTACTGTGTGTGTTCAGTCCTGTGTTCACTACTGTGTTCACTACTGTGTGTGTTCAGTCCTGTGTTCACTACTGTGTTCACTACTGTGTTCAGTACTGTGTTCACTACTGTGTGTGTTCAGTCCTGTGTTCACTACTGTGTTCACTACTGTGTGTGTTCAGTCCTGTGTTCACTACTGTGTTCACTACTGTGTTCAGTCCTGTGTTCACTACTGTGTGTGTTCAGTCCTGTGTTCACTACTGTGTTCACTACTGTGTGTGTTCAGTCCTGTGTTCACTACTGTGTTCACTACTGTGTTCAGTACTGTGTTCACTACTGTGTTCAGTACTGTGTTCACTACTGTGTGTGTTCAGTCCTGTGTTCACTACTGTGTTCACTACTGTGTGTGTTCAGTCCTGTGTTCACTCCTGTGTTCACTACTGTGTGTGTTCAGTCCTGTGTTCACTACTGTGTGTGTTCAGTCCTGTGTTCACTCCTGTGTTCACTACTGTGTGTGTTCAGTCCTGTGTTCACTACTGTGTGTGTTCAGTCCTGTGTTCACTCCTGTGTTCACTACTGTGTGTGTTCAATGTGTTCTCTTTCGTAAATTATAAATACAAGACAGAACATATATACATATATATATATACATATGTATATATATATATATATATATATATATATATATATATATATATATATATATATATATATATATATTATAATATATACACGTGTATATACACACACACACATGTATATATATACACAGATACACATTATATATACACATATATACACATATATGTATATACACATACATAGAAATGTATATATATATAAACACACACATATAAATTCGATCTAGTTGGAAACTTGATCCAAGGAAGCGGAGCTGCTGCTGCTCCTCGGATCAAACCCACTCTCTTAGTACCACCTGTCCCCGCCCTTACGGGCTTACCGCTCCCTAGAATTAAAAATAGTATACCATAATTTACAATTTTTTTTTTTCGTAAATCTGTAAATTTCCCGTAAATAATTTTTGTAAATCTT